GTCCATCGTCTGGGTGAACGGTTTTGGTCATAGTACAGTCGGGGAGACAGAAATGAGCGTTTCCGCATTCTTGATTTCTGGAAGGGAGTACTGTGGCTTTAGCATAAAATGCAGTGAGACCAAGCAAAGCGAGTGAGAGAAAGAGCGAACGATAGAGCGCGAGATAGAGAGAGAGAACCAGCGGTAGCGAAAGAGAAACATACCTATCACACCACTTCTTTGCGCAGCACTTCGTACGTGGGCTGCAATCGGAATCACGATGGCATTCGTCGTAGACGGTACCTGAAATAATTTAATACTTGCCGAAAAACGAAAACATTCATTAAAAATATTTTTAAATACCCTGCGTCATCGGCTAACCCATGATTGTGAGCTCCCAAACTAACCCCTTCCATTCTCGCGCATCACGACGATTGGCTTGTTCAGCAGATTTGAGTTTGTATATTCGTAGAACATCCTCTCATTTCTTTTTGGGACATTCGCATTTTTCCGAGGTCTAAAATTGACTCCAAATTGATGTAGAAAATTGCCTACTGTGGCCCGATCCGCGGGAATTCCCCCGGTCGCACCTCGTACCAAACGCCCGGCTCTTGATCATCTACAAAGAAAAAAATTGGATGTCCAAATGTATTGAACTTACTGATATCAGCTTGGCTAGGCAGACCGGCTTCTTCCTGTTCGAGTTCTTGGAATTTATTTCTGTGAAAGGCGAGATCCTTAGTGTGTAAAAATGCTTACGGTGCTTCGATATGCAATTTTTGCTTCCAGAAATTCTCCATAAAACTATCATGATTTCCGGAATCGGTTAGCTCGAAAGAGGGCGGATTTTTGAAGCTCGATTGTGACGTTTCCACATCATTTGGGCTTGGTGTAGCTTGGGCAGGGGCTCTCTGAATGTTTTTGTGAAACTTGAAGCTTGAAGCTGGTGCTCCTGTGAAACACCTTTTAAAAGGTGTTTTACAGGAGCACCAGCCTGGAACACAGCGCATTTCGAGCTTAACCTACCCTTCTATCCGATCTGCTCCTCTCAAGCAGCTTCCAGCTCTTCCGGTTCTCAGAATTCCGGATTTGGGAAGCCGGCCGTAACAAGGTGATAATTTCTTCCTCAGTTGGCTCAAAGCCGGGCGGTGAGGGCTAGGCTAATTTATTACAATTTTTCACAAAAACTTACCTCGGGCCGCGGTTTCCGGTCAATTTTCTGTATAGCTGTCAGCTTGGTTTTCAATGGGCGATCCTAAACAGCTTTCAAAAATCTTAATAAATTTTGATACCGGAAACGATCCATGAAAACTACTGTCCGCATCACTAAAAATAAAATAATTTCCAACATCTTTAGAATCGAGATACCCAAGCATATCCTGGAAGTGGTCCAGGCCACCGGAAGCGATGTCTAAGAACCAATTTAAGACACTATCGTTTAAAAATACCCGAAAAATCTTGTTTTCGATTGTTGTCTTCACGAAGGGCAAATGGTTTTAATGGTTTGTCTGGTAAACTCCAGCAATCTCCCTAAAATCTCGATAATTAAGTCTGATTTCTATAATCTATTGTTAATTCTAATTTTTATTTTCTCTCTCGCTCTGTCTCTGTGTCTTTGTCTCTATATCGCTTCGTTCTCTCTTTCTCTCTCTCTCTCTCTCTCTCTCTCTCAAACTCTCTCTCTCTCTCGCTCTTTCTCTCTCTCACTCTCTCTATCCCTCACACTATCTCCCTCAATTTATCCTGACCCACCTCAATACAAAACAAATCCCGCGGGCATTGGTTGTTGTCATCGCAGGGCCCTATTTTTACGATCTCACAAAAATTTGGAGATTTTTTGCATGCAACCACCACCATATTAATTTTATTCCCATGAATATAACGTGCAAGAGTACATGCAAGAACAAAAAAAATTCGTCTTTCCATCACCGTCTGCCCGTGCTACCTGGCCATTGCAACCGCTCGCTTTGCCGGGGTTTTGGAGTCCTAAAATAGCTTAAAAAATTTCGAAAAATACGCCGTTACCATTTTACTCCCCTTTTACTCCTCGTCGCATTTCTTCCGAAAAAGTACATGCTGGCCGGGATTGTTGTGGGTTCCTGAAAAAGGCTTAGGGTTGCTTTAGGAGGGTGTTTTCTCTCTCTCTCTCTCTCTCTCTCTCTCTCTCTCTCTCTCTCTCTCTCTCTCTCCCCCTCTCTATCACTTTATCTCTCCCTCCTCTCTCTCTCTTTCTCTCTCTCTCTCTCTCTCTCTCTCTCTCTCTCTCTCTCTCTCTCTCTCTCTCTTTCTCTCTTTCTTTTCTCTTTCTCTCTCTAAATGTTTTTTATTGTTGCCCCCTTCTTCTCAAAGGCATATGGCGACTTTTCACAACTCTCAAAGCTCACCCTTCAGTCTCAGCCACTATCACACCGCCTATTAACGTTTTTCGTAGCTATAGTAGCAAATTTGTGGGTTCAAAAGAAGCATAATTTCTTTGGCACCCAAAAAAACCTTTTTCGAACAACTGCGGACTTTATACTGTGCAGCAGTAGACACCAACAATAATTGCCCACCTTTCTCCTCGTATCGGGCGCGGTGGTCGACGCCTGAAAGGGAACCTTACGTTTTGGCTAAATGGCGGTGGCATTACCGTAGTGGTCGTAGGTTGGTCGCGGAATTTCACGTGAAGTTTGCCGCTTCTCAGGGCTCGCTGCTGGGCCATGAAGCGGGCTGGAGAGTTGATCAGTAATTAGAGGAGTGCGTGAGAGCGATTGAGAGCTAGTACGAGAAAGAGAGAGGGGGAGAGAGGGCGAGAGGATGAGAGGATGAGAGAGGCAGAGAGAGCCAAAGACAAAGATAGGGTATCTGAATTTTCCCAACACCTGGAGGATTTGGTGGTATTCCATAAGACTTTGGTGATGCCGCTTTACAAAATCCAGGCCTCGCCATGTCTTGCTCCCATTTCGGTCGGCACACACATTTTCCGAGATCGCAAATTTGCGCGTTTTCCGGGCAATCATTATCGGTTTCGCAGCCTGAAAATAAGAAATTCGTTTTATCCTTGAAGACTTTGACCTCCATGCCCCTCTAAACCTAATTTGGATGTAAAAACTCACTCAACGATATCCACAAGCATTGGCAATCCTGGCAGCCCTGATCGTTGATCATCACAAAGCAATTCTTAGCGCAGAGTCTGGGTGGAGGGCAGCCTAATTTGCATGGATTCGTATAATTCAGGGTTCCTCACCAATAACAGCACCTCTTGTCGGTTTGGTCCAATTCCTGCCTTCGAGAACAGAATTGTCAAAAATGCCCTTGGTGTTGAATGCGGCTTCTGCTGATTTTTCTGGGGTTGCATTAATTGCCGCTACATCGTTGTCGCCATAGGCTGAAAATTCAGAAAATCATGCTTTCAAAAATCTAGGCACTTTACGACATTAAGGTAATGTAACGTCAAATTTAACGCTTTAAGATGTACTTAACTCCAAGAATCGACTAAAAATGAGTTCAAAAAGAATAACGTTGGAAATTACCAGAAGCTGCAGGAGCGCGTGGACGATTTTCTACCGGTGCTGCTGTTTCTTCTACAGGTACTGTAGGTATTACCGTCGCTTCGGATTCCATGGGAATTATCGTATTTCTCGATTTTTTCCAAATTTCGGTCGATACTGTGGAGTCGAGCGGAATTTCCGGGATTTCAGACGTCGTCGGTATTTCCGGGATTTCTGAATCAAGGGCCGGAGCGGTTTCCGGAATTTCCGCTCCAGTACTGGGTACGCCATCCGGAGAGGAGGATTGCTCTGTAGCTACACTATCATAAGATCCGGTTGCAGGTGTTTCTACGGTATCCGGTAAGACGGAATTTCCGGCAGTTACCGTATTCGCATCAACTTCGGTGGCAGCTTTCGGAACTTCGGCCACCTCCGGCGCGACTTCAGGAACTTCCGACATTTCCGTAGTCATCGTAACCTCACCCATTTCCCCCAGATCTTCCGTGACACTACTCGGATCGATGGTACTTTCCGTAACCAGTTTCTCCCCGGAATCTTCTGATATATCTTCAAAGGTCACAGTTTCAATCGGATCTTCTGTCGTTTCTTCTGTCATCGCCTTAATTGTCTCCTTATCACCCGCTTTTACGGCGGCAATCAGAGCAAATGGGTCTTCGGTGCTGCTGTCTTTTTCCATGGCTTTTCGTTGCAGGAATTCCTTGGCGATTTCGGATTCGATGGGGATGGTTGAAGCTGGGATTGATTCGGAATTTGTATTGGTAGTCGTCGGCGTGAATTCGACCATTTCGTCGGCAGGTTCGGAGATGTTGTTGGTGCCGGAAGTAGCTAAAAATACGATAATATTTGAGCACGGAGCTAGATTCAAGATGGGCACCTACCTTCATCAAAAGCCACTTCGGTAGTGGGTTCATTCTTCGTATCCGTTTCTAAGGAAGATTCGACCTCCTCCACTTCTGTTGAAGAACCTTCAGCCGCCAAGCCGGGCCCTGCTGACGTCACTTCTTGAATGCTGGCCTCAATTGAGACGTCGTTAGGCTACAAAATACAATTTGTGAAGACAAACCACGCAATTTACCGGTTGCACTGCCTTCAGGCCGCCATGTAATCGGCACGGCTTCTTTGTCACGACCTCACCGGAAATCTGAAATGATACTTAGATCGTGAAAAGTGTATCAGCGCGTTTTAAGTAATTACTATACCTTTGTCGCATATCGTCTATAATACTAGGTAATACCTTTAAAACAGCCCGCTTGGAAAATGCCGCATCTTCAAACCCGATCTCCGTAGCGTCGGAATCTTCGCTGCAATCTGGACCAGTGGATGGCTATAGAAAAACAACCATTATTGTATACCTTCCAATTCTTCCACCGGCTTTCCGGGAGTGGTCGGCACCTCGATTTCTTTCATAGCATTCAGTTCTAGTAACTCGGTAGAGCTGGCGTCCTGTCAAAAAGGTAGGAAATTTAAAGTTTGAGCTGACTACGGTAGCTCCTGTCGCTGAAATAAGAATTTTGTTTGACGAGTCGTTGGAGTCAACATCTAAAGAAGATAAATTAATAAAGAATAGAATTAAAAATACCTATTGAGACGCCCAATGCGGCTGAAGTTGTGGTCTAAAAATTGTTCTATGGCAGGACAGAGACAAGGGGAGGGGAGAGATAGGATAGGAGAAGGAGAGGGAGAGAGAGTGAGAGAAATAGAGGGTGATAGAGAGCGAGAGTCAGGGAGAAAGAGGGGGAGAGAGTGAGAGAGTGAGAGATAGCGCATGAGAGAGAGAGCGAGAGTGTGAGAGAGCGAGAGTGAAAGAAAATGAGAGAGATATAGAGAGGGAGAGTCAGGGGAGAGTGAGAGAAATGAGAGAGAGAGAGCGAGAGGTAGAAAGAGATAGAGCGAGAGTTAGAGAGAAGTCGGCTGCAAAGTAGCTGAATCGATAGATACCTCTGCAACAGCTAACCCAGATGGTGTCGTTGGAAGATCTTCCTAGAATAAAGGAAGCTAAAATTCATTTAGCCATTACCGAAACAAAAGAAGCCGCTTCAGTTTCCTCAATAACATGTTGATAGGAATCTCTTTGTATCGCTGGTGGCCCTGGTTCGATCCCCGGCGGTTCGGCCTAAAAGTCTTTAATTTTTTCTGCAATAATTGCTTACGGTAGCCGTTCCATTCTTCAACTTTTTAAACAATTCTCTCCTTCTTTTGGCTAGTGCATCGTCAAAATCTCTGAAACACAAAGTGAACCGTTAGGAATTCGGATTATACCTCCATTTCTCAACAAAAGACTGATTTTGATTCGTAGCTGGTGCCTGGGCCCTAAAATTTTGATTTTTTTGATGGGTTAGTACGACGTACGCTGCACTAGAATTTGGTCTTGTTAGTTCTCGGGCCTCTAACAACAGTAGATAGGGCAGAATTAACAATAATCGCATCTGAAAATGGGGTACATGTCATAAGCGCGTTAACAGAAGTTTGAAAACAAATAATGAAACTGTAGAGGGTGCATTAATAATACATTTCTTGTCCAAGATACCGATTGAACAAGTCATTAAAAATCTTTAAGACACGTTAAAGGTGCCTGCAAGGTAAAGGCATAAGATATATCTCAAGTCAAACGCCGTGGACTTGCAATAAAGTCTACAGCCACGTAATCGATTCCGGACCATGGAATGCTGTCAAGAAATCAGCAGGGCAACGGGTTTTGTGGCGGGAGGAGAGGCCCTCAAATCGAGATGGTGACGATGATGCTTCAAGGAGGGGGAGGCCGAGGTGGGAACGGGACTGTGCCCTCAGGGCACAGACTTGCCCCTTAAAGGGCAACAACCAACTCTATTTGCAGAAAGAGGGAATGGTATTACATTCTAGTCAAAGTATCAGGCTGGAAATCGGAAGAAAAACTAAACCTAAAAACTCTAAAAATTCGTTATTAGAAAGCTCCCATGACAAGCCTGGAGATGGGCAAGACAGGCATTTTGTATAGCAGAAAACCATCGAAGCGAAAGAGAGAGAGAGCGAGAGAGAGAGAGAGAAAGAGAGAACGAAAGCAAATCTACAAAAATTTGTGGCAAGATTATAAATTCATGATAATATGAAATCTGGCTAGGATATAGATAAACTACGAACCATTCGCCTAGTTCTGCCTACAACCCTATTTCACGCCCCACCAAAACTAACCGACCGCGGATGGCATTGACGCGGCCAAAGAACTTTCCCCCCTCGTTGCATACAGCCCAGGGGTGCTGAATAGAATGCGGGATGTATCTGAAGATGGCTCTTATAGGCATCCACCGTATCATCCAGACAGCATTTTGGCTCAGCGGACAGACAGAAAACGAAGATAGCGGAAGATCGAAGAACGGTGGTCTTTGCAAAACTAGCTTACGTGCAAGTTATATTAATAAAGCTATCGGAGATGTCGTGTGACTTTAAATGGAACAAATGACAAAATGTTGAGCTGCCTAGCCATCTCTATCCTAAAAAT